CCCCAAAACCCCAAAACCCCAAAACCCCAAAACCCCAAAACCCCAATCACTCGTTAGATGATTGAATCAAAGTAGCACTTGAGTCGTTAAACATAAATTTTAATATGGGTTATATTGAATGTAAGAGAAGTTATAGTTCAACAAAAGGCTCCTTCTTTGCTTTAAAAGAACTAGACCTCTTACCTTTTTTCCGGTCTTCAAATCTAAAGTTCTTATCATACATCACAGATTTGCATCTTTCCATTAATGAGAACCTATAATTGATCTCCTTTTTAGCCTTAAGTATGCCATCCTGGATCCAAAACTGTAAGGCATTTCATACCAAAGGAACAACCATCATGATCAAAACAAGTTTAATATTCGGATAAATATTGAGCCAGCCAAGTCAGACCTTGACTGCTATTTCTAATGGAACTGCAAAAATCTGTAGTATTCAGAATAATAGCACTTTCATGGATGCGACTATCAGACCCCAAACTGCTATCTGTATAATCCAGATTTTATAGTCAACTTCGTGCTTTTTGGCCAGGATTGCAGGGTCGAGAAATTCTATGTCGGGTGAATAATGAAGCTCTTTGATATAAACGCCAGTGTTAAGTTCCTCTATGTGATATTTGAGGCCTATATTTTCAACCATTTTTAAGCCAAGATAGCACAAAGGAACTCCTATGAGTATGTCACAGATGAAGTTTATGAAATACCAATCACAGTTATCAGCTTCGTTTGTGTGACTAAGCAGGATAGCAAGCATCATATTGAGACAGTGTTGCAGGAAGGCACCGAATACTTGTTTTGAATTATCAAAAATCCAGACAACCCATGGTCTTTTGGGTTTTTCAAAATACCTTTTCACCAAAAGTGCACTTAAAGAGATAAGTCCTAAAATTCCTTGAACAATAAGACCTCCAAATCCTAGAATGTGTCATTTTAAAGGCGGTGGTGGTGAATTATGCACTTCCATTTTGATTTAAAAATATTTCAATTGTTAAAATTTTCTTGGGGTTTTGGGGTTTTGGGGTTTTGGGGTTTTGGGGTTTTGGGG